TTAATACAACATACAAAGCGTAATGTATGTCTATGTAGCATATATTTTGTTGTTATACTAGAATGGAAATTATTTGTCTACATTATCATGTTTGAAAATCATAAGTACAGTTTACATCAAACGGGTGTAAGAGGGACGGTTTATGGTTGAGCCTTGCATGGTTTACAGAACTTTCACGATAGGAAAAATATACCGTTCTATACAACCTATATTTTTTAATTTTGCCTTCTTTTAAGTAGCTATATAGTTAAGTGTGTTGCCTAGCATTGTGTAGGGGGGCCGGGATGTCTATTTTCGGTCGGGCGGAGCGTAGACGTCTGATCAATAAGTCGAACAATAGTGAAACAGATTCAAAATGTGTCCGCCCAAAATTGGGTTTCACTTTTTTAAATCACATTCAAGGTTATGCCAAAAGAATTCCCATTCTAACAAATCCAATTCATAACGACACAGAGCAATTTAAAGAATGATAATAAAAAAGTCAGGACGAATTTGCTTACCATTTCTCTAGTAAAATCGTAGTCGTGTTGGGATTATAAAGGTAGGCCTCATTGAGTTATCGCGACCCTCGGGGAGTATACCTAACCTACATCAGCTAATTCGAAAAGTTTTCTTTATCATTATAGAGGCATTATTACTTTACGGATTTATAAAATAACTCGTAATTTGTAAAATAGTTATTAATAGCGACCTTTTTTGAATATTATTATAATATTTATAAGTCAAAATTCGAATTGAAATCACATTTTATTGTAGTACAAATACGTTCGAATTTTAAAATATATATGTTTACTGCACTGAATTCATATATTATATTTAAAAATTCGAATTCAAAACAAATTTATTATATATATATAAATGTTACTATTGTAAAAATTGCGTAAGACATACAGCGCCATGTTTTTTGCCACTTGATAGTACTTATGCTTACACTTGCTATAATGATACTTGAAATATTCCACTAAATTCAAATCCCTGGTAATCAACATTTTCACAGACACACGAGAATCTATGTTCCTATGTGTAGTGTTGTATTATACATATTTCGGATCTGCATATCACATACTGTTAAACATACAGCAGGGAAAATAACGACATTTTCAACACACAAATATAACAAATAATGGCTAGTTTAAATCTGCATTTGTTTTTACATTTACTGCAGTTTTAGATAAAGTACTATTTAATTGAAATATTTCGACAAAAAAAACAACAGATCCCGGCATGCCCCACATAGGGAATTTAACACACTTTTTACATATGCAAAGAATTTAAGAATTTGTAACTGAAAGTCAAGAGTAAATGCTGTTCCTCATAGGATAGGATAGAAAAAACAAATGTATTTATTTAGCAAAAATTGCAAGTCGCTAACCATGTGATTGTTTAAAATCACGACCCGTGTGCTTCCTGATAAGATTTATGTACTGCTGCTGACACTTAATTTCGTTCCCGTTCGCCTTTTGATGGTTCCCGTTATTTTTCTGTACACTTTGTAAGCGGAAGTTAATAGAATTCCCTTTAACTTTTCCAAATTTGTCGTACGTCACGGGAGAACGGAAGTTATGTCACAACATTTAGGAAAAGAGAGAAGAAAAAAATAGTTTACCTACACGATGAGTAAAACTCTTGAAACAACATTATTAGGATTTAGAATAAAGCCTTTTTAACGGTTTAAAACTCGAAATATTTTTAGTTTACTTATTTTTATTTTACTACGTCCTGACGTTTTATGATGCTTAGTAGCCCCGTGGTCACGGCTACTGCAAAGAATCCCACGAAGAAAGAAAAAGACAAGAACGTCGGAACATAGTAAAATAAAAATAAGTTTAACTAATACAACTTGCGTTTTAAGATGTTAAAATAGTTATTTAAATGTTTCTATGACTTATAAAAAAAAACTTTGATTGATAACGTTTTGGATGCTTTGCAGCTTAGTTCACGGGGAGAGTAAACACAGTTATTTCACTAATAAAAAGGGAAAAAACAAACACAGAAGACATTTTTATACTTTATGCTTAGAGTCATTGAAGTTATTCTTGACAAATATTGTATAATATTACATGTTCACATTTAGGTTTACTTCGTTTTTTAAATTGTAAGTGTCTATATTTGTGCAATGAATAATTGTATTATTATGACAGCCTTATATGGTAATTTATGCATTTTTATAAAACGTAATGATATTCATTTATAATAAAGCAAGGTGTCAAAAATCCCATTGAAATATATACGGATGGTACTCGAATCTATGACCACAGTCCACAGCGTGTCATACACAGTCTGTTCTAACTTAGACAATTTTAAATTTGCTTTTCTAAGTTTGTCGTTTGATATCAACCTGTGAATTATTTCAATCATTAACAAGGGAAATTCTTTAGCCACTTTGCGTAGTCCCCTTTGCCTCGTTATGAATAAGGACAAATTCGAAACAAAATTCAATATCCTAATTTGCATATTGTAACAGATTGTCAAATTCGTGTCGAATTCATCACAAAAAGAAAATTCAAATATTAATTTGCAAATTTCATTACAATGTCTCTCGAACCAGTCTTTTAGAGATTCTGTTCAAGATATACTTTGCCGAGGGGCCTATTAGTTCTGATGATAACGAGGCAGTTCGTTATTTCCAACAAGAGTAACCGCATCCGGTACTGAAGACTGTCTACTGTACTTTAGTAAAAATTTTAAATGCCTATTATAACCGAAATAAATCAATTGATCACCATTTAGGGACATGAAAAGTGTATAACAAAATATATTTATAAAATACTTGTAAATAAAATCTTGATCAACAAGGTACTACAAATACTGATGGCTTTTTGACTTCTGAGATTAGATTGGTAAAGTGGTTAAAAGTCTTATTTTCTGTTAAATATAGACTAGATATAGTAAAAAACTTTTAATAATTTTCACATGTTATTGCACATGATGAAATTATATTAAGTAAAAATATATTTACATAAAAAAAAATCGACGGAGCACGTTATCACTCTAAATATTTTTTTAAATTTTTAAATGCAGCATGTAGTTTTGATTATTAAAAGTTAATGCAGATCGACAGCAGAATATAGACTTGGGATAGTTTAGTCAACAACTATAAAATAAAACTAGGATATTTCACCTTCTATAAATTTTACTCTATGCATGTCTATTATCTTATCTATACTAATATATAAAGCTGAAGAGTTTGTTTGTTTGTATGTCTGAACGCGCCAATCTCAGGAACTACGGGATCCAATTGAAGATTTATTTTTGTGTTGGTTAGAGCATTAATCATAAGAAGGCTATAGGCTATAAAATATCGCGCTGTGACTAATAGAAGCGAAGATACAGCGGGAAATGTGAACAAACCGGGGGAAATGTACGCATCTGAAATCCACAGAGATAAAAATCTCTGTGGATTTCAGATGCGTACACTGCGAAAACGGTTCAAGATACCCAAAAGATATGTATGAAAGAATGATTTCGCTTTAAATATCTAAAAACAAAGTCCCCAATACTATATGTACTATCTTATAAGATTAACTTGCAAGAACATCGGGACAACAACCCAGTACGACGGGACCCGAACGACAAGTCGGGAGCGACAGGACACCACCGATGTCGTGGGCAGCTTAAATTTATAAAAAAGTTTGCAAAAACAAATTTGGATGCCCAAAATAACTATTCTACGCGGACGAAGTCAGTGACACGGCTAGTAATACATAATTCAGTGCTAAATGAATTTGTGTTTTTATATTTTAATAGAGTTAATTTCTTTATAGTTAAATCAAGACTTTGTTTTTATGATATGAAAAACCTAATTCCATTAAGACCATTCTGCAATTATTTAAATTTTAAAAGCACCGAGAAACTTCAAAGCTGCCACTTACAAAGCTTCATAAGTAAGCTTACTTTGAATCAGATATCTGGCGTGTCCAATATAATATTCTGTAGAGATATTGATCTCGTTGAAGACCGTCAGCTTAATTAGCTCACTTTAATTAGCAGTCTGTATAATCTGCTTATATTTGCGTGACATGACTGAGATATATCCTTTGATGTTTAAAGATTTCCAGTTATTAGAGCCAAAGGAGTTTAAGACCGCTGTCATGGCTTAAAAGATCATGAGAGGTCATACAAACGTAATAAAATTTCGGTCGGTCTGATAATCTGTAAATAATATTGCTCTGTTTAACAGATAAGGATATGTGTATGCGCAACGTATTTTTGATTTCGTCTTGACTTCGTCATGAACGTCATTTTTTCGCTTCGAATATTTTTACAGTATATTCACTGTGTTAACTTTTATTATGTATAAAGAAAATACTTTAACGGTTTAAAACGTGATATATATTAGAAAACTACTCGCGTGTTACTAACAAACACTTATATTTTAAATGAAATATAAAACATGTATGTTTTAATAATATAAAATTAATAAATTCGTTAAAATAATACACAATTTGCCATATTAAAACGTAAATTCACTATTACGTCACATAATACAGTAAATATGGTGATGATATTGTAAGTAACACATCACGCTAGGAGAAATGTTGTTATAAATTAATTAAACGGAAGTTTAGAATGCTCCTTCAATTGTAAAGTTCATTCTACCATAAATTATATTGATAACTCATTTTCACGTAAACAAATTCAGTTGCCAGCATAAATCCAAATATCTAAATTGATTATTTTATAGCGAAATAATAAACATTTTATATTTGTCCTCATGTCATAAAAATAAAATTAACACTCGACTATTTTTAAACGTTTGACGATGGATAAATCCACTTGTTCAAGTTTCTTATAAAACATGTTATCGCTTTTACCCGTAGCAAACAACTCAATTGCGTCTTGGTCTTCCCATTGATATACATTCATTTTGCCAGACCATTATAACCCGTTTGTCTGTTTCTTTCTTAGTATTATATTTTGACGTCATCGCAACCGCAGCAAATTATTTTAATTAAACCAGTGTAAACCCGACCACGCGCAAGTGACCACGTGACGTTACTATGGCCAACAAATATTTGTTGTGCCTCTTGATATTATGTGTAGCTATTAATACAGTTTACGCGAAATTTGGACGTAGTGGTGGAAGGTCTTCGAGCAGATCTTCAGGATGGGGGCGAGGTAGTTCGTCAAGATCATCTTCTTCCAGCTGGGGATGGAGTAAACCGTCTAGTTCAAGCTCCAGTCACTCGTATCCGTCATCTTCTGGATATTCAGGGTCGCATTCCAGTTCACATAGCTATCCTTCTTCAACTGGATTGTCAGGGTCCAGTTCAGGAAGAGGTAAATAAAAAAAGTCTCTTGTAAAAATGTCTCTACAATTGTCAGAATTTTTTTATGCTAATGTTTTCTATAGTTCTATTTCTATATTTTATTGGTAAAGATTTACTTTGTTAAAACTGTCAATAATGTTTCTTCCAAATAGTATGATAAAGAAATAATAGCACTTGTCTTTTATAACATACACTTTAACACATTAATGTTACACCAGGAAATTCTCCGAGTTATCCTTGGTCTACTGGCTTATCTGGATCGGGATCTGGATCAAGTTACCCGTTTTCGACAAACAACTTTGGATCAGGACCAAAAAGTACATTCCTATATTACCTAACGCCTGTACATAAAAATTAATTAATTGATTGATTAAAATCAATTTAAACTCAATTTTCGATATGAGCCTCTATGATATATTGGTTTCACCGAAATGTAGTAGATGGTAATTTAAAAAAAATATATTTCAGGTAATTCCCCGAGCTATCCCTGGTCAACTGGATTATCTGGTTCAGGATCAAGTAGTAAATACCCAGCTTCAACTGGATTATCTGGCTCAGGGTCAAAGAGTAAGTTCCTTTTTTATTTTTTCTCTTTCCATATAGAAATAATATTAAACAATATAGATAAATAACACACACACATTAGTGTGGTTTTTTGTTACATTATTAAAAAAGAAACAGGATCTGAACCTTAATCAAATATAAATAATAGTTAATAATAATACTTCAGGTAATTTGCCAAACTATCCCTGGTCTACTGGCTTGTCTGGCTCCGGATCAAGTGGTAAGTGTCATCCTTGCTGTTTTATCACCGTTATTAATAAAACTACAAATAATATACCTTTAATAATTCATATAAAAATATAATTAGAATTCAGCAAAGAACAAGTTATATAACTTATTTTCGCTAGTTAAAAAGACTTTCTAAATTCCAGGTACCTCCATCAATAAATATACCCCATCGACTAGTTTATCTGGATCGGGGTCAAATAATAAATACTCAGGCTCTACGAGTGTTGTACACAACTATCCTTCATCGTCAACTGGTCTTTCAGGATCCGCTACGTCAAGACACAACACGAATTACAATACACCCACGAATCATTATAGTAATTCAAATCATAATACTAATTCAGGCTTTAAGCCAACATACAGAGCTCCGTCATACAGCAGTGGAACCTATGGCAGCAATCATTATATTCCAACCTACTATTCTGCGCCTCAACATGTATATATTACACAGTATAGGGATTCAGGCAGTCGCTATAATGACTTACTGACTGGCTTAACACTATACAACTTAGGACGGTCACATTCACATTATCACCATCATTATTATAACGATGACTACTACAGACAACGATATCATGGAAGTTCAAGCCCTTATGAGTCGACAAAAGGCGAAGCTTATTGCCTTTTAAGAATTAAGGAGCAGGGAAAAATTGAGGAACTAAAAATACCCTGTGAAATCGTATCAACATTTACAGAAGATAGTAAAAAAGTAGCAAAAGAAACGATTACGTCAGAACAAATAGTCTGTCAAAATATAACGTCAAGTCAACAATCAGTTGTTTCAAGTGAAACTCTTACAACAGAGTCTAGTTTATCTGTAATACCTATAAAGGAATCAAACAATGTCAACATTACAGAAAACAATCCAATAACAACCAATAATTCATCTACGAATGTATTGTCTCAAAATGGTACTCTTTTAAATGATACAACTAGAGCTCTTCAAAAAAGTACGCCAACATTACCGCCATCAGAAAATAATTCTAGTTTAATTACCAATGTAACTCGGCCTGTAAACATCACTGACAATACGAATGGTACACGGTTCGATCAAAACAGTACAGTTCCAAATATTAACAATATCACAAGTCCTGCTATAGTAAACAACACTTTATCCTCAAATGGATCTGAGCTTATAACAGGAAATATATCAGTAACCACAGAAACAAATAACAATACTGTGTTATCATCAACTGCCAAACCAAACGTAATGACTGAAGTAAAGATCATCAACTCCACATGTACAACAGTTAGAAAAACAGAATTAAAAGACCCATTAACAATAAAGGGTCCACCGCCAAACCCAACAAACATGGAATGTGAAGTAGAAATAGTTACGAGAGACCATAGACTAAAATCTAAAGTGAATTGTCTCACTTTATTGGAGTACTCCAGAATGCCTGTACCAAAGAAGGAACCAGGAATCTTGCCACCTAGAGAGAAGCTAAAGTCCTGGTTATCGAAGCCACCATGGTGGATGTCAATGTTCATCGCTGTATAGATTCTAGTACTTTTGTAATTATAATTTTGTAGACATTATATATTTTAGTTATACAATAGATAAGTTTTATAGTAAATTATTAAATATTGTAATGGCAATATTTTTGACCCCCGTTTATTTTTTAAGCAGTTTTATTATATAGATAGCATAGATATATGACAGATCTTAAAATCCCGTCTTATAATTTGTAACATTGTAATATAATAAGAAAATCGTTATATTTTAAAATAACATTTATTATTTTTGTTTTTTTCTACATCCACATAGTATCTAATCAACCGTGTAAAACTTTTCCATTGCAATGGATTAGTGATGAACGACCTCTGTAAATTAAAAAAAATCCACCGCATAATAAAATATATGAACAGGACCTCGAGTGAATGTTTTTTAGCGTTTTAAACGCAAAATTTATTAGTAAATTTATCTTTAACAATGACTTAATATTTTTTGCTTTCCAGCAGCAACGGTGTCGGAATGTTTCGGGTTTAAAATCGTTAAAATTGTTTTTTAATGTGTTCCAATCACTAATAAAGCAGCCACTAGCAGCACTAAGATAATATTTCTGGTTAAAAGGTTATCTTTACAACGATAAGCAGAAAGACTGTTACCTCAATAAACAAAACTATTTGTTAACTAATGACCTCGATGGTCTTTTGCGATGTAACTGACATATGAGGACTTGGGTTCGAATCTTGCGCTGGATTAAAATATTTGGCATATTCATAATATGCCTTTACAATATATCTGTTATAAATGGATAAGACCACAACTGAGAGTGGGACAAGAGTTTACTAGTTTCACACAAATGTAGGCTCAGCTTTCATGATTAACAATTCATTGTACAATATTTACCTGCAAAACAGTTTTAAATTCGTGGTCGTAAGTTATAAAACTCTTGCTATTACACTGCAGGAATATAAATTTAGTGCATATTTCGTAGTTATTATAGGTCGGTGTGTGCAATTTGTTAGATCGCAAAATGGTTTTGCATGTTTAGTTGAAGTTTGAACGAGGTAACTGTTTAGAATGACCGTGTTTCAAACTATAGTCGTTATTGAATCTTGCGGCAGTCATGGAAAAGACTGTGTTAATATAGTGAAATAAAACAATCGTTATTCAAATATGTAAAATAAAAAATTAAGAACGTTTTTGAGAATATAGTCTTTTTATTACAAGAAATATAGCAATTTAAGTATATTTTAGTAGAGAGTGCAGATAGAGTGTTCCAAGTCCCTACACTAGTGCAAGCCAGTGTCGTGGAACATATATTTTTCCTACAACTCAAATAGAGTACTTAAATAGATTTTTTAACATGATTAATTTAATTTCATCTTAATACGATCCTAAAGAATTGTAATTAGGGTCTTTTTTATCAAAAAAACTTAGACGTAGATTTTAATATTATGTAGTTTCGGTGGCAATTACCTGAAATAAGAAATATTTACGCCGACAATCACGAATTAATTAAAATTTTAGAGCGGATTAAAATTTCTCGAGTAGTAATTAATTAAAACTCGGTTGTTTTTAAAAAAGTGGTACAAATATTTGGTCATAACATTTTATTATGAGTATTTAAAATGTCAATGTTTGGGACGTAGGTTTATCCCCAAACTTGTTTTTTTATATTTAAGTTAACAATTTTAGTTTAAGAATTGGTAAAACTAAATAAGGTAAATATGTACAAACACAACTATTTTTATTTAATATTTAGATATTTGTACTTATATAAACAATATTCAAATATACTTAAAACTTATGGGTTGAATATGTCTGACGTAAGTAACTATGGCAGCACAAATATTAATGAATCTTCTTACCAGTAAGATTAACAAAAATATAATTGAATAAGTGATATTTTAAAAAAGTAAAAGATTACAAAATGGCCCGCAAACAGAAATTTAAATAATTATGTATACATAATGTTCATTCATACGAGACAACTGAATATTTTCTTTTAAATAAAACATTTTAACTGTTTAAAACGCGATATATATTTCTATTAATTATTTATTTTCTCCACGTCACCACGGCTGCTGCACAGCATCCGAAGCGTCGAGCCGAAGTTTAAACAAATTTGCAAATAAGCTTAACTAACTGTTTTAAACCGTTAAAGTGTTTTATTTAACTGTCCTACTTAACTACAGACAGTATTTAAATATTGTCTTTAGAATTTAGATTGTGCATTGCCCGCTCCTATAATTATCGATATCCCTATCCCCGAGACAATATTAATGTTTAAATATACAATCATGAAACTCAAAACATACTTTAGCACTGTTTTTAGCTGCCCTTCCTTGTAGATCGGCGCTGTGGGAACGGCGACGCGTAGCGTCAACTATTTTATCATGTTTTGTTTTGACGCGCCATTCATCAGTCATCGCTGTATGTGGCTAGATTAGTACACTACAGTACATTTGTTTCAGTCGCCAAGCACTTAGAGGCTAAGAGTAAGTAGTATTTTTTTAATGTAAGAGAAATCGTGCTTTCCAACGTGGCATGAGAGCCGAACACATTTTTGTGTCGTTTTATTACAAGCAAGCATTCATAACAGCTTTTTGTACTTGCTCTACTGAAATAATTTATTGTTTCCCCGGGTTTCGAAGGCAGGACCTCTCGCGGCTATGCTAGGTAACTCATTTAAACATTTACCATAAAATCTAGGTATATACGCCAAATTTTAATTTATTTTTTGGAATACAGGAACGCTTTTAGAGTGTCAGCATTAAAACTCCTACATTCAAAATGCACGTAACGTCCAAATCCGTATATTTAATATATTGTATTATGTTTATCTGTTAGCACTATTATTTAGGATCAGTATAGAAGTAAGGCGAGGATAGGGAATCGGTTCGTTGGAGGGCTTGTTAGTGCGGCACTAGTCTTGATTTGTCTAATTCTTGTGAGAGACAAATCTATCTGACTTAGTATAGCACGACAAACACCGTTATCTTTAATTGTTTTGGAAACGACTCGTTAAAAAGTAATTAATTCGGAAAGGCATTTTAATGCTGTTTACTCATTACATTTGGAACGCAATAAAACAACAGACGTTATTTAAGCAGACTATCCTTACATAGTATAAATATGGTTATGCCTGACTAAAGGTCTCGTGTCCCCTACTGGGTAGGATCTTTTTTTGTTTGATTCACTTATAGATTTAATTAAAATAATCAAGCCGCTCAATTGAGGCTAAGACTAGTCTGCTTCTCGAGATTTAACTAATGCTAGTTTGCGCATGCTAAGATGGGTGAAATTAAATTAATATCTATAGCTAATATTAGTCTATGTGGCACAATATGTTTTTAATATGAATTTCGTAAACGCTGTGTACACACTTCCGTGATTCCATGCTTAAACCCGGGGTCAAATTTAAAGGAGAGGAGAAGTTTTTTGTTAGAGGCAGCACAGAAGTCTGATCAGAGACAGACACAATATTGTGTCTGTGCCCCATACAGAAAAACACGATTTCAATTTGTGTATCGCCGTAATCAAACTGAATTATAGTTAAACTCTAAATAAATCAGGGCATATACAAGAAATAGCTACAAAAATATATCGAGCAGTAAAAAATGTTCGTTAATGATCACGTCGTTTTCGCCGAAAGTTATGTCCCAATCGTAATATAATTTCAGTCAATTTCGCATCTCTCGTTACTTGATTCCAATCAACGTAACTCTATAATAGCTTATTCAATAATTAATAATTATTATTCGCAATTTATCAGTTTATAAATCAGCCAAACAGTTATCGTTTGTAATTAGCATATTTTAATTTGTGAACCAGAATAATGGAGTTTTAAAAGCAGTGATAAACGACAACGTTGTATGGTACACATAATTTACTATTGATTTAAAACCTACGTTACACACATACGTTCTTGTCCCGAACAACAACTAGAACTTAATACCGAAGTGTTTGTAATTTTTGAGAGTTACTGTTAAACGATAATTTTTTCCCATTAAAATGACATTTCGCTTATAAACACTATTGTATTATTTAGTTATTATTATGTATAGTACTTAGTAGTTTTTATTAATTTCTATAATTCAAACAACGTAATTTTAGTATTGCTCGAAGAATTAACATAATCAATCCTGATAATGTCGTCCGTTCGTGATGGCGGAAGGTCGAGAACATCTTCTCGCTCACATGGGCCGAACAGCCCGAAAAACAATGCTATGCAATATAAGTAAACAATATAAGTGTTTTAAACTTCATTTTTATACATATGTAAGTTCGGAATAGAAGGGTCATCATATCTGAATCTTACATTTATAAATATAAGTTTGATTATGTATAGTGGAATCTTTGTAACTCGAATCTCGTTTAGTAAGTCGAAAAAAATATATATTCCCTTCTGCTGAACCTATAAATACGCGGTATCTCGAATTAATTAGACTTTGTCACTCGAAAAATTTGTTATTTTATTGATAACGAATATTTATACTCTACAACTCGAATTTCAAATAGAAGACTCTGTAAGTCAAAGTTAGTAAAATGTAATGACGTTTTCGAAATCATAGCAATAAAATCCAAAAGAAATGTTTGATGTAGGTTCGGGATTTCTAAGCTTTTTTTATATCTTGTATACGTGCAAGGAGAGACCATCGCAAAATGTAGTTAGAAACCTTACCTTTCTATGTCAAAGTTTTAGCAAATAAATCCTTTGTATCTCGAAATACTCGTTGAATCGAAAACTCATTAACTCGAATTTTTTAGCATTTCCCTTGAATTTCGAGTTATCGAGCCGTATATTTTAAAAATATGCCTATCAATAAACCTTATTTTATATGATTTTTATTACTTATTTAGCTTAATTTCTATTACGATACGAGCTAAAAAAGCAGTAAAGTCTGGTGTACTATACGCAATAAATTCGGCATATGAAAACTATTGTTCCACGAGCTATAACACGCAGTACAATTGGGCGGGTCACGCGCGAGGCACGCAGAGTGTGACACCCGAATTTGTCACGTACGCGACCGGTGTACCAGATAAAA